AGAAATCCGACGTTTTGATAGAGTAAAACATCCCCAATGGAATGATTAATCCCATTCGCTCCCCTAGCTTTCGTCTCTCAGTGTCAGTGTCGGCCCAGCAGAGTGCTTTCGCCGTTGGTGTTCTTTCCGATCTCTACGCATTTCACCGCTCCACCGGAAATTCCCTCTGCCCCTACCGTACGTGTCTATTTTTGCCCTTTTAATTCTTTATTTGTAAGGGTCAAACTTGTTTAATGCCCGTATGATCTTTGGGGTTTCACATCCCATCGGCTTATTTGTCATTAATAATACTGACTTTGCTTTAAAAAAAAAAAGAAGAAATAAGAAGTTAAATTTCCAACACACCCACAAGAAACGTGTTTTATATAGAAAGTTAATTAATTCATACATAAAAGTTATTGAGTAGTGTTGTTAGTTTTATGTAAAGAAAAGATGATTTGGGTCTTCTGAGAGGCATCAACTCTGTTAGGATCAGATACTCATCTCGAGTGTACCCTCCTTCCTTGCACAAAAAAAAAATAATAATAATAAAAAATAAATAAAAATTAAAAAAAAAAAAAAAAAAAAAAAAAAAAAGAATGACATATAATTCAAAATTCTCAATGAAACAAATGATTAAAAGAAAATATTGAGCAGACTAACTTGATGATGCATCTCATTTTGAGAGTCATCTCGTCCATCATGTCAGTAAAATGGGATTAGATTTGATTTGTAATGTATAATCCATAATTAAACGTGAGAAATGAAGTGACAGCTAGAGGTGCTTTCTTTCACCAAAAAAAAAAAAAGAAAAAAAGCTAGAGGTGCTTTCTTGTACTACTAATTGTGAACATATCTCAACAATTAACTTAATAAAGTTTTAGGCGTGCATAATTTGATTGCTTAATTACATGCACCTCCATCTCTCTTTCTTAATTTCATGCAGGCCTAATCATAACCAAATAAACTTTTCTAGTAATCGCATTTCTAGCTTGTACGCCATATATATATTTGGATATTTTGAAATATTAAACTTGATTTGAAAAAGAAAAGAAAAAAAAGACTTAACTTGTTTGAAGATGATGAGATTATCTAACCCTAGAGTCACAACGCAGCATTTAAAGAAACTTCATATTATTAGCTGGAGAAGCCCCTTGATGCCATCTGGAGGCTGGTCCATCATCGTGATACATAAAATTCTTTAATTTTCATGTATTATAATATAATCCTTATATTTAAAGTAGTACTTGAATTTCCTAAACCGAAAATATCTAGCTCATATTAGGTAATGTAAAAGTTTATTGATGTTAGGCATCACAATCAATTTTGAAGTGAACAAATTAAATAATTAAAGAAAAGGAAACTAATGAGATATAATATATATCTTTCTTGTTTGATCACTCACAAGTTTTTGTATAATAATCCTCTTGCATAGACTTGTTTAGAGAAAAAAAAAAAAAAAAAAAAAAAAAACATTTCATATTTCCTCATGTATCATGAATTTTTCTATATCCCTTTAAATTGTCCGTAAATGAAAAAGACTTTTTTTTTTTTTTTAAACACAAATTGATACGTTAGGTAGGCCTTAAATACACTCTACTTATATACAATGTGTGGTTTGCAAACTACTGTATTACACAAGAGCACAATTTACATAATATAGTGAACACCCGCTGCAGATTTTTCTCGTTACCAAAATAATAATAATGCACTTTTAATCATCTTCTTCTACAAGGTTGAATCTCACCCCCAATAATGGTCCTAACACTCTAGCCCGACAGAATATTTGGAAAGATGTAAATCACGGTGACTCGGTGACTCAACAGAAATGACCAAATGCCGATGAGTACAAGGGATCTGCCTAATTTGGGCATAATCCCTACACTGTCACCACCGAAGTTCGAACCTAAATCTTTTCTCCCAAATGCTGCATACAGAACCATTGAGTTAAGTCTGTGCGGGTCCACTTTTAATCATCTTTCAATTATTGTTCGTTGTACAATTTGGTCCTTATTTTTCAAATTGGGATTTGACAACAAAGGGTTGGTTTCCTTCAATGGCCATTCCTTTAACGACAATAGTAAAGAATTTAAGACTATTAATGGTGGAAAATGAAAGGAACTTTATTAGCAGTGACGTCAGAAGGGAGCAAGGACAGAAAGTAGATGCATGTGTATATATACACACATCTCATTGACTGTATGTGGATATATACGCTGACCAATTTTGAAAAAAATTACTGAATTTGATGTGCAATTCAAAGGATAAATTCACATACCAAAGGTGTAATGTTCATCACTAGAACATCGTGTTCCTTCTCTTGCTAAAAAAAAATGCTCAACAAAATTCAAATAATAAGTCTGAACACTATATCATAGATTCGTAAAAACATTATATTTTCTTATGAATTTACTAGAATAGAAAAGCAAAAATACAAATTTAAAGAGAGAATTGAGATGATGTTTATTAGTAGCTTACTAACAAGAGAAACAAATTAAACTAACATTGTTATTAGACAATTGAGAAACTACTCTGTTAGGATCGAAAGACGGGGTGTAACTTTATTTTCTTATACAACATTTAGGAGAGGTAGGATGTTAAACAATTCGCCAAACAATTTCTCCTCCTAGCATCTGTGACCACTTGTTAAGATCAAACGTTTATCAATATATCAAATCAGTCGTCATCTTTTTAACTCTTTATTATTATTATTTAAAAAAAAAAAACCAAAGTCTACGCGCTTATGGTATGAAGCACACTAGGGTTCCCAACTGCCATAGTGTAGAAAAGTCTCAAAGGTAGAATTTTTAAAATGATTTACAAAAAAGTCACAAATTAGAGATACCTTAGAAATACTTATCAACTCAAAAAAATGCGTCCAAACATGTCAAGCTACAAGGCAAGTACTAAAAACCGTTGAAAAAAATGTTATAGTGTTATATATACTACATAGTAACATAAGGCACCATTGATACAATAACAAAATCTAATCTTGCGAGAAAGGAAAAAGTCACCACATAAATATTGAAAGAGTTAAGTTCAAAAAAAGGGTACTCCAATTTTGGGAGATTATAAATTTGACCAATTTTAATTCTTAAATATTAATTTTTTTTAGTATAAAACATATACTACATTGTAAAGAATTATAAATGTTTCAAAAAAAATATTAATTTCCTTATAATTTTAGTATCAATGTGTAGTCCGTGTGCGTGTTTTTTTTTTTTTTTTTTGGTCATACTACGCTTCAGAACAAAGAGAAAGTAATTATCAGTATATTGACACCATTAAAATCCAAAAACAATTAGTATACCACATATTTAAGCATTAATTTTAAAGATTGTCTTCATTTTTAACGTCTATTAAAAGAAAATTTGCACAATAGACTAATTTTTATTTCTTTTGCTAAAAAAATCAATACTCAAAAATTAAAATTGGTTAATTTTATAATTGAAATCAAAAAATTGAATCTAACCCTAACGTGTGAATAGAATTTCCTATTAAAAATTTCCAACCAATCATGGGACATTCAATTGCATTATTAAAAAAAAAAAAAAAAAAGCAATAACATATTGAAATGTCATGGTTAATATTAGTTGCTGATTTCCTATTGGACCATCACATCACTAAACCAACCGCTTTCCTGTTGTTAATTATATGTTTATTGCTTGCCAAAATCATAATTAATTGGATTTGATTCATGTTTATCAACTAATACCAATATAATGTGAAAAGACAGAAAGGTGCACACATTGGGGATTGTTTTTCCTAGGTAGTTGTTAAGTCACGGTGCTTCACCTTAATACCAGTAAACAAAATAAAACAAAAAAAGGCAGCAGAAATCAATGCAAAGCCAAAGCGGTCTGACTAGTGACTACTCTAAAGTCTAAACCACATCTTTATTTTATTTTATAAATTTGGTCTCTTGTCAAGATTCACCCCCAAAACACCCATATTTTAATCATTGGCTGCCAATTCTGACACCAAATGTGCGCAACACTGAAACCCGGTTTCCTTCCGGATTGAATCACGTGCTCCATCTCAACTAAAAGTCTAAGCTGATAGTTGAATTGCACATTAAACTCAATAAGTCAATTCGAACTTATGAGAGGCATGTAGTGACCTCTATTATATGGGAAGTCATGAGATCGAATCTCAGTGGACGCGTTACATTAGGATTCAAAAAAAAAAGTTAAATTTTTGTTACTATCTACAACTTTTAACATATTGGTAAGCGTTAAAGGATATATTACAATTGGTAACTAACGTATACTCCTAAATAACTTATAGGGTTCGAAATATTTATACACTAGTGTAACAAATTAAAATAATAAATTTATTTTGTATTGATTCACCAGTTAGATAGGGTTTGGTCATTTGTTTCATAATCATAAGAAAAACGTGAGGAACAATATTAATTTTATTTTGAAATAAGGTTCAAATTGGCCACTGAACCTAACCTGAAAATGCAATTAGGCCACTGAACGAAAAAAAAGTGCAATTAGGCCACTGAACACTCTAAAAGTGTGCAATTTCACCTGATAGCAGGTTACCATCAATTTTAGCAGGTTACCTACTTACGTGGCAGCTGAGTTGGCATTTTTAATAATTTTTAATAAATTTTAATAATAAGTTTAAAAAAAAAAAAAACGACGGGGTCAATTTACGTGGCCACCCCGTCATTTTATTTTTTATTTTTATTTTTTTTTCAATTTTTAAAAAATTTATATTAAAATTAATTATTAAAAATTATTAAAAATGCCAACTCATCTGCCACATAAGCAGGTAACCTGCTAAAATTGATGGTAACCTGTTATTCGGTGAAATTGCATACATTTGGAGTGTTCAGTGGTCTAATTGCAAGTTTTTGGAGTGTTCAGTGACCTAATTGCACCTTTTTTTTTTTTCCTTCAGTGGCCTAATTGCATTTTCAGGTTACGTTCAGGGGCCAATTTAAACCTTATTCCTTTTATTTTCCTAAACCTTGCAGGGGAAAGTCTGGAAATTTACCAGCAATATCAAAACAAACGCCGCAGGTATGAATTCCCTAATTTAGCTACTTTATCATACTTACTGATGATTATCAAGTTGGATTACAAAAGTAAGCTGTAATTTATACAATAATTATGTTCTGCTCTGATCTTAAAGAACTAATGTATATATAGGGCAGGAAGGGATTTACAGATTACTGTAATGATGTAACCCCATGAAGGCGAACATAATTTACAGTTCCCAAGGAAAATAAATCTGGAAACAGTGTAAAGAAGAAGAGAAGATCGTCGGCGTCGGCGTCGGCGTCGGCGGTGGCCGTGGCGGTGGCCGTGGAGGTCAAATATCCTTGTCTTTGACGGAGAGAAGGTCGCCATTAACGGCTGTAGTGTTTCTTCTCTTGACGTAGAAATTAAGGAACAATAAGAGGATGGCGGCGTTGAGGACGGAATTGAAAAGCCAGGCGCCGATGCCATTGCAGCCACCTTTGATGAAATGGAGGAGGAGAACTCCGACGTGGCAGAGGAGATTGCAGGCGAGGAGGACAATCTGGCAATTGATGACGAAGGGGAAGCAGGCGCTGGGGAGGCCAATCGCCGTCCAGAATCTGTAACCGTAAACGACGGAATAGACGGAGGTGGTTAGGAGAATGGCGAGGACCTGGAAGGACTGGGAGAATTCGAGCCAGAGGAAGGACATGAAGATGAGGATGGAGTGGTTGAAGAGCTGCGAGGAGGAGAGGCGGCGGCGGCGGAGGATGGTGAAGAACGTCCGGAGCGTGTGGAGGAAACGCGAGAGGTAGAAGGCGTAGGACCAGAAGAAGACGCGGCCGGAGGGCCGCGTCCCCAGCGGGAAACAGAGGAGCCACTGGAACGGCGTCGTCTTGGAGCGGCGCCAGAACCACCGCGTGTCCCGGATCTCCGCCGCGCTGGAGAGTAAAATCCCGGCGAAGATCGTCACCGAAATCAGCGCCATCGCGAGCGAGTGCAGCGCCGGGATTGGCCCCAGAGGAAGCGGGCGGCGGTGGCGGAAGAGGAGGAGGAGAAGGAGGTGGAGCACAAGGGAAAACCCGATATATGCGGCGATGGAGGTAAACACGAAAGACCAGGTATTCCCCCATGATTGGCTATGGCTCCACCGGAACCCCACGATCGGAGGCTGCTCCGACAGGTAATACGTTAGGCTCTGAAACATCATCATCATATCGTCGGCAATGTTCTCGTCGTTGACCGGACGAGAACACCACCAACGCAAGCAAACAATCAATCCCACACCCTCCCTCGCCGATTCTTCTCAGGATGCCACGATTAAATGAAAATTACAAAAAAATTTAAAAAAATTAAAATAAAATTGCAGATAGAGAAGAAGGTTAGATAGGGGATGGAATCTGAGAGCTGAGTGTGGGGAAGACGGGGTGGTGGGGAAGACAAGAAAGAATCAGAGATAACAAATCTTATTTATACCAAGTTTTACAATATTTTATTTAATTATACTATATTTCACACCGTATGTTAACTATAAAATAACATTCAAGTCTGACATTTATACTTATATTCGTTTATTAAAAGAATAAAATTTTTAAAGCAACTTCCAAAAAAAATTGGTTAGTCAGACAATTTACTTAAATACTATAAGTTTCTAAATTGGTTTGAGCTGGTCAGGTATACATAACTCAGACAGGTTATCTCTTTGTCGTTCTTTGCTAGCTAAAGTCACAAGATGTGAATCTTCGGATAACAATGATAGATTTTATGTTATTATATAGTTTTGGTAATTTTTAAATTTTATACTAAATTTTTCTTTTTGGATCAAAAGGAAGGAGAACACCCGAAAAGGAAACAAAAAATTACGATACTACATTTTATACTAAAATTTAAACTAGGGTATAATTTTAATCAAACATTCTAAATTTGACAATTCGTATTTAAGTTTAAATTGCTACATAATATTATCCAATTTTATTCTTTGATTCAAAAGGTGGGGTTAGATGAATCTTTTAAAATTAAATAGTAGATCAGAATTAGACAAAATTGTGCGAATATTTTAAATTCACTAAAGAATTATCCATTTGAAAAAAAAGGACAAAATTATGAAAGACTTAGGGGTCGTTTACTTCATTCTTCTGTTTTTCCATTTCCAGTTTTCCATTTTTCTATTTCTCCAGTTTTCCTTCTCCATTTCTCCATTTCTCCATTTCTCCAGTTTTCCTTCTCTATTTCTCTAGTTTTTTTAATTTTCATTCGCTATTTCTCCATTTTTTCATTTTTCTAATAATAATAATAATAATAATAATAATGATAATAATAATAATAATAATAATAATAATAATAATAATTAAAAAAGAAGAAAGAATTCGAAAGAAAAAAAAAAGAGGGGAAAAACGAAGGGAAGAAAAAAAGGGGGAATAATAATAATAATAATAATAATAATAATAATAATAATAATAATAAAGAATTTGAAAAAAAAAAAAAAAAGCAGGGGAAAAACGAATGTAAGAAAGAAATAATAATAATAATAATAATAATAATAATAATAATAATAATAATAATAATAATAATAATTAAAAAAGAAGAAAGAATTCGAAAGAAAAAAAAACAGAGGGGAAAAAACGAAGGGAAGAAAGAAAGGGGGAAAACAGAAGAAAGAAACTGTGAAGAATAAAATAAGCACAAGCAGGATTCGATCACAGGACCTCGCGCACAAATGCCACTGTTCACCCGTGTGTTCCATTCCTCCATTTGGAGAATGGTTATTTTGCTTTCTCCAAATTTGTATTAGAAGTGGAAGAATGGAGATGAGATTGGATTTGGAAGAATTGGAAGAATGGAGATGAGATTGGATTTGGAAGAATAAATTTAGTAAACAAGTTTTCCAATTTCCATTTTTCCACTTCTTCAATTCTCCAATTTTTTGGAAAATTCTCTATTTTTCCAAGTTGGTAAACGACCCCTTAGAATTTAATATTTTCTATTACAATGTAGTATCTGTTGTAAAGAATTAAAGCACAAAGAGTCAATACTCACTACGGAAGGAGAATCAGAGATTTCTTATGAGATGCCACAGCTATGCCGCTCGACCACAAGGCTTTTGGCCTTAGAATTTAATATTAAAAGAAGAGTTTAATATATGTACGGTTTAGTGTTTGGTCCATCCAAATCAAATGGCAACTATTCTTAAGCATTAAGTGAACAAAATATGATTGGTGAAATGCAAATTTATATTAAATTGTTGTATTATTCTCAGTGAATTTGTGAGCAGCATTTTCCAGCTAAGCAGCAGACAACGGCGCCTGCTATTTTAACAGTCGTTACCTTTTGAATTTCACTATTACAATTTTCACTTTCTTTTTTATTTTTACACTTCAATTTAAAAATCTGATGTCGTATATTTTATATTCCATTACGTCAGCATTTACTATGCATAAAATCGGTAAAATTTGAAATAAAAAGTGTTTAAAAAGTGACGTAGAAACCTGTTTTTGGACAGTGCTAATGTATGACTAAAGTTTTAGATTTATTTTTGGTGACTTACTCCGAGTCGAGCTACATGAGTCAAATTTTAATGTGAAAAATTAACCCACAACAACTAACGAGCTGGCCGTTTAAATGTTTAATATTGTGCATTTAACTTCACACGAGTTGATTATTAGTGATGTGGTAAATACACCAAGGTATGCGGATGTCTATAGGTAGTCGAATTTGGATAGTAGGATTGCATGTACGGATCCGCTTATGGTTGGCTGTACTCGGAAAAGGTGACAGAGAGTTTGAGGATCCCGAGTTAATTATGGTTAGGTAGAAATACTAGAAGTCCTCTCATTACAAGTATTAAAGGTGGTATTATAGAGGTTTGGAGAATACACATGAGAGAAATATGTGAAGTAAGGGAGGGGGATTTACAACCTAAACTACAAAATGTTGGAATTTTAGCTTAAAAATGACATTTAAGTGGTTGTTTTGTGGTACAAATATATATGGGGTCCACTCCCGGTTTGGGTCGGGTCAATGTGGATTTGCACTTTCGTAGTGATACGGATAAATTAATATATTGTACGCTCAAAACGGATAATGGGTGAATGAAAAGTTGATTCTCAAAATAGATCCATTTGAGTTGGAAAATGAAGGTGGAAAGCCTTTGTAAAAACACTTGCCCCACATTAGTTTGGGGAGTGGGTTTGCACCATTATATATACAAGACCCTTTTAAAAGAAGGTTGAATTGTATATCATATAGGCTATCTCTCGCGCATAGGAATGAGCCTGAAAAAAGGCTTGATTCATGTACGCCGTCACCTGTGGGCACAAATGTTGTCCTGACGTGTTAAGTTATGTCAAATTTTCGTATATTTTTTCGAACTCAGAGCCACTGTCTGAGGAGTAAAATTTTGTTTACCATTCAGACTTGACTATTCGGTCGAGACATATATTTTTGTATATTTTTTCCAACTCAGAGCCACTGTTCGAGGAGTAAAATTTTGTTTACCATTCGGACTTGACTATTCGGTCGAGTAGTTGTCATTTGGACTTGATTGTTCGGTTTGACCGAACAGTTGACTACTCGTTCGTAATCTTCAGGCAACTCTTCATGGGTACTGCTCGAAGTATCTTCGGAGTACCGTTCTAGACAGTGTTAATTCATATATGTAGGAATTAATTCCAATTTATATTTTAAGAATTAACGGTCATAACAGTTGTGTTAAACTCCGGATTAAGTTGTTGGTTACAAATGTTACAATTTTTGAATTTATTTCAAATTTTAATGCCATTGTTAATGTTATTTATTCAATCTTCCCCTATAAATAGCTTGGTGTTGGGCTGATTGTTTCCTGCTAGTTTTTAACGTGAAAAACACTTTGATTTTCTCTCTTGCTTTCTCAAAATCATTTTCTTACGGAAATTCTTCCAACACTTCCGTTAAAAAGAACGAAGTGCTCGCCTGTTGTTCTAGTTCGCCAGACTATATGTTTGAGTGTTCAAACACTATAGTCGTAATCTATTTTATTCTAGGAGACTAACGCTACAACGTTTCTAGAATCCCACGTGAGGTAGCAAATTGGTTTTAAAAAAAGTGTGTGTTACACACAACTCGAATTTTTTTTCCTTCTTCTCTTTTCTTGTTGGTTGGGTTTATATTAAAATTTATAAAACCCTTATTGTTTATATATATATATATATATATATATATATATATATATATATATATATATATATATATATATATATATATTTGTTTTGATAAATTAACTTATTCACCATCTACACAAAATGGAAGCTCAAATATTTGGAGGAGTATAGTAGCGGCATGAGACGTTCTCAAAAAGGACTCGGGTAGGCTGGTCCGAAACGGGAACAACAAAAGGTTCTAGAGTGATGAGTGGCTGATTAATGGAAATCTAAAAGACATTATGGACTTGGAGGATTGTGGGGAGAGTATTGATATGTGCGTTGATGATGTTTGGACAAACATTTTACTCTAAATAGTATCACAATTTTACATATAAATATTATTCAATATCTATGTAAGTAACAATTTATTTATTTAAATTTGGTATTAAATTTTTTGTAATAAGTATTATGATTTCAATCTTAAGTAACAAACAACTATTATAGATTCAACTCGTCTTACGGATTAAGATTCATGAGAGGTCTCATACAATTAATTGTGAACTTCTAATCATATCCTTTAGGTCTTAGAGCCTTGGCCTCTAATAATAAAAGGAGATTTCCCATGTCATTAGGAGGTTGATCAAATTTACCCCACTTCATTAGAAAGTTTAGATTGATTGAATGATATATAAATTTATATTTATTAGTGTTAATGTGCTAGTCTATTGAAATTGAAAGTTTAAAATATTAAGAGAAAATGGCACTTTTTCCCTCTGTGTTATATGCTTATAGCACTTTTTCCCCCTGAGTTATTCATGCATTCACATTTGCCCCCTCAATTATTATAGAAGTGGCGGTTTTCCCCCTGATAATATTAAATGGACATTTCTACCCTTAAAACAAATATTTTATTTATTTCTCTTCTTCAACAAATTATTGCTTATACGTAGGGATGACCACGGTTCGGTTCGAACTGAACTAAACACTATAGCAATCAAATTAAAAAATTTCGGTTATGATTCATAACATAACCCAATATTTGGGTTTCCGTTTATTAAAATCGTGAACTGGAAAAAAATGGATCCTGAACCGTGAACCGGAGGTTCAAATCGGAACAACTACTAGCAATAGCTTAAATTAGAATTATAATATTTGCAAATAGTGTATGTTTTTTTCCGCATTTATATTGACTCGCACATATAAGTATATATAATCGCGGTTTGAGTTTTATTTTGAACCGTCGGTTCACGATTTTGGATCCAATTTGAACGGTTGGTTCAAATTTTCTTTTAAAATTTTATTTTTTTATTTTTAAAATATTCTAAATTCAACACTTAATGTATTTTATTTTTTCAAATCGTGGTTATAATTTGTTGGAGAAGAAAAATAAATGAAATATTTATTTTAAGGGTAAATATGTCCATTTAATATATCAGGGGGAAAAACTGCCACTTAAATAATTTAGGGGGAAAAAGTGCTATAAGTATATAACAAAGGGGGAAAAAGTGCCATTTTCCCAAATATTAATTTGAAAATGTCAAAAGTTTTAGTTGATTCCGCCTCATAAGTTCAACAGTCTGATATTTTATAATTTGGGTTAAAAGTTTTAAATCCTATAAAAAAAAAATCAATAAGTCCGAAATAATAAAATCGATAGTCCGATAAGAATAAGTTGAAATTGCGATAGGTTTCTTTGTGAAAAACGTTTTATTGGTTTACTAGTATTGTCTCGTGCGATGCACGGACTAAATATTAAAGATTTGTTTGTAATGTTAAATAGGTAATAAATGTTTTTAATAATGGTATTTGAAGTACAGAAGAAGAAAACATGAACCACAATTTAATTGTTTAAAATTACATTTTTATTAAGTATATGACAAAATAATTATGATATTGTATTTACAATATTTAATTTAATAATTGAAAATAGTATGATACAAAAAGTTACTATTATTAATCGTAGCTAGCGGTAACATATTTGATCTTGAGTATGTCTACTCCTAATATGCTACCCATGCGATGCACGGAATAAATATTGAACAACATTATAATAATATTATTTATTAAAAAATACAACCTAATATCAACATAGTTGCAATTCATATTCATATATATATATATATGGTCTTGTGAAAATTAAATGTTGTTAATACCAACATTTAACCATGCATTAACATCAATATTTAATTTTCATAAGACAATATGACTTTATTATAATTAAGATTTCTTTTATTGAAGTTGTAAGGCTGTAGGCAATATAATAATAATAATGACTTAATGAGTGTTGCAAGAATTTTAAACAAAGAAAAATTATGTTGGGCATTCGCTTCTCATTCTGCTCCATTTAACTTTAGCGGTTCTAAGTTGGTCGTCGGTGAATGATAACGTTTAATTTGTTGTCCATGGAAAATAAGAAATAGGTGGTCGGAGACTTGATAGTGAAAGTTAACCTCAGATCTTACATATGACTTAATTAACGACCGACCACATAGCCACATAGGCTACCAATCTACAACAATCTTTTAATAAGACCGTCACCTTTTTTCAATTCGCAATATTAAAATCATGCATATACGCATTCCGATATGAATATATATGCTAAACAAAACTGGTGGATCCACTTCATTTCATCATTTGGCGGTGAAACTAGTCTAGAATGCAATAGTAAAAATAAAAATAAAAAACAATTAACAAAGAACAAGATAACAATAGAGTGAAAAGGGAAGGGAAATAGAGACTAGGATGGGGAAATGTAATCTAAGATAAAGGATGTATTTTTGTTTATTTTTTTTTAATCAAGGGATGTTATTATTGTTAATTATATTAACCATGAAAAAGTCTTTCTCAATGTCATTTCATACTGTTATAAAAGTTAAATACATTCTCATGCCCCATAACCAGGGAAAAGGGTGTTTCATCAAAAACTCGGTGTCCTAGACACCTCATATTCCATACTTCCATTTTCTCAAAGGTGGGGCATGGTTGATCAACCATTTGATCCTATATTAGGTTGTCACTTCATAATCAAGACTGAATCATTAATGTATTTTATGAGTTAGAATAATGTATTTATGAGTTAGATTTGGATGATGTTCTAACACATAAAGTACATTATTCTAACTCATAAAATACATTATCTTATCGCAGAATGCTCATTATTCTAACACGAACGCAATATAATGATTTTTTTTTAACATTAAAACAATGTTGTTTTAGACCGTGGTCCATACAATAATTTTTTGTCGCATTTGACTATGTTTGTTCAAGTTCCCACACTACTACTAGTAAGGCTCGATCCCAGGTCATTGTTGTGTCCAACTTAGCTGCTCATGCGGACTGAATAATTTGACCTACCAACTTGTAATGAAATATTAAAATTGCAGTGCTCCTGAATGTTGGAAATTAAAAATAAATTGTTGGAATTTTCCTAACAACTTGTCCATATAAGAAGTGCAAATTAAAAGAGAACCAAAAAAAAAAAAAAAAAAGGCAGAGAACGAAAGACATGATACATGGTAGCTAGTCATTTTTGTTTCACAAGTAAGATGAGAGATATAGAGTCAGCAAGCTGATAATACACCTGGATCTTCATCACACTATTTTCTCACTTCAGTGTAGTCTCCATTGCCCCCAGATCAGAGGCCTTCTTTCTGCAATATCTGTAATAAAAGTACTGTAATATGATCTGTGAGTCCACTTAAGGTTGAACCAATAATGGTGATTCTATGCATAATTGAAAAATATTAAAAGTTTAAACATTAATACTAAGAGATAAGGATACAAGTAAATCAAGCATGACACAACCGGCGGCATCGAACAACCAAGGCAAGTTGGGTTCAATCTTATCCCACTCTGATGTTCTCACAACAATGCTGCATCATATATACCAAGAAATTTGAGCAGATTTTAGAGAAATGGAGAAAGCATCAAGTTTGGCATGCAAAAGTGTAGGAACGAGCTTAGCTAAATGGTTCAGTAAGTATTGTTTGAGATAAGAGACTAAGGTTTGAAACTTGGTGTAGGGGACTTGGAGTTGAGGATTCAACTTTTTGGGAGAAGAAGAAAAGTGTAGGCACGAGGGGACTTAAATTACCTTCCCACGTAGGTCAAATTGGCAATAAGTGCAAAGATGAACATGAATGGATTCAATCCCTGCAAGATTAAAAGAGAGACATTTGCTATGTTGTCCAATAATGAGTCATAAGTACACATTTTGATATATATAATAATGTCAGAGAATTACTTCAGCGCTCCCTCTTCTGATCTGGTGGAACAACAACAACAACAACAACGTTGATGAGTGTGAAGCAAACAATATAATATAACAGAAGAATAGAATACGCCCCAACCAAGTCCAGTACCAGGTGACTAGGAAATTGTTAGAGGGACTCCTAAAGGGCCAAGTCCAGCATTCTGTCTTTCAAAAATGTGATGGTATAAAAAAAAATAAAGTTGTGCCGCCGCTTTTGGTGTAGTGGTAAGTGCTTGATCCTAACAAATGACAGGTGCAAGAGGAATTGTTGGGCGAAGGCTGGTGAAGGGCAAAGTGCTGGCTAGAGGATCCTTAAGTGTAAGCTTAAAGGTCCAAGTCTAGCACCCTGTGTCTCGAAAATGCATGTGACGATATAAGGAAGCTTTTGGCGTAGTGTTAAGCGTTTATCCTAACAAGTGACAAGTGTTGGAAAAACTGTTTGACGGAAGCCCGTAAAATGCCAATTCTAGCGCTAGCACCAAGTGCCTAGGGGATTGTTGGGTGGAGGCCTAAAAGGTTAAGTCAGTATCTTGCCTCTCAAAAATATGATGGTGTAAGAAAATTTTTGACGTAGTGATAAGCACTTAATCTCAATATTGCCAAAAGGCGTATAATTACACTTACATTTAGCCATATTTGAGGGAGGCGGCTGCTCATATAGATAGCAGCCATCATCCACCCCAACCACTGTCCACTGGCACCGTGCTCTGCACCATGTTCCTGCTAATCCAAAAACACCCAACACAATAACCTATAAACTGAAATTTTCAGCAAACAAATATATTATTAGGTGCAATATAATATTATAATGTGTCCATATATACCTGTAGTAGTTTCCTTCCACCAAATGCAACATAAGTAAACATCAAAGCCTTTGCTTGCCGAGGCGTGTTGAGTGTCGTAGCCAAAAACGCACCATAACCTGCCTGCAGCAACTCATATTCGCCTTAAAATGGTTAGTTAATTGTTATTGAAAAGTGTAAACCTGCCAAGAAATAATAATCTTTCTAAACTAACAAAAATGTCCAGAAAATAGATGGCACTTATAACTTACAGATCGTGGGATACCCTTAATTTGGGTGAAGGAATTCTTGGCTGCTTCATCATCTGAAGAGGCATTATCATCTTGAATACCCAGAGCAGAAGGACCACTTTTAATAGGCCATAAACTAGACCTAAATGGAGGAGTTGCACTACCAGCCAATGATCTTGCAGAGCTGCAGACCCAATACCCAGTCTTACTATACAAACAGTTAACATAGTATTTTGTCTGTATTAAAACCTCAAAACCTAGTACATTTGGCCATGTCTGTTACATCCTCCCAAATGCTTTGTCTGGGACGTGGGGTAAGAAGAAAACAAACGAGCTTAGAATAACGTACGTGTAATAGTAGTCGATCCGATGTGGTCCTGCCCTGGCACTGTCATTAGGTATTGGAATACCGGACACCACTGATTTTCGTGGCCATAGAGGCTTCCTCACTTCCTCAATCTGTTAGTCCAACAACTTTGCAACACCTTTAGCTACAGATATTGAGTAATCTATATACAAGAGGTCGAAAACACTTGAGCAATAATCTTACCGGTTGGTTCGAACTTTCAGCCTTGCATTTCCAGCTTTTGTACAGATAATCATAGTACAAGCTTTGATTCGCAGTCGTTGTTGTGTAAAGCTGCTCAAGAATTCATGAACATTAAAAAAAAAAAAACATAATAACATCATTGTGCTATATATTTTTGTTGTGCTTGCTCGAGTACAACATCCTGCCATTCAAATGTGGTGCTGACTGCTATGCAAGTATAAGGAAATAAAGTTTTGCTTTCACCACTAGCTATAGTTTTTGACGCAGTGGTGAGAGCAAGCTTGATATTGACAATTAATTGGTATCAGAGCAATGTTGGATAAAGTGAAAATTACCAGAGCTGTGTACAGTTGGGTTGGCAACTGCATGCAGAAGAGAGGAAGAAAATGTGAGCAGGGAGAACTGTACTATATAAGCAAAATTTTGCTTTCCTTGAGTCTTAAAAGGCTAATTTATTTCACCAAATGCATAAATTTGTTATGAGATATATATATATACCGTTGCAGGCTCAAGCAAGCAACCAACAAGATTGAATATGTCTCTGCATATATAGCATCAGAAAATAAAACACAACAAACTCAAAAACAAATAAAAAAAAAAAAACATAGGTAGATATCGTAACGTAGCGATCGAAACGCAAGGTGAAGAAAGAAGTACATACCCAGTAATCCAAGTGAGAAGAAAGAGAAGGGAGATGCCATGGCTGGACTTTGTGTGAAAGTTGGTGAAAATCTGGGGGATTTCAGCAACGCCCCAGAAGACCAAGCTTGCCACACCTAAACAGAAGGACAGTTCATCTCTAATGTTGCACTCCATTATATATATATATTATATATTATATATTTATGTTTAATCTGTATTTGTGTGTGTATATATATATATATTGTTGGGTTGACAGTATACTATGAAACAGGTCTAGATTCTGGAAAAATGGGAAGAGAGAATGTGTGGTGGTGGTATTATTAAATTCAGGAAAAACTGGTGCTCAGGAAATGGATGGCCAACAGTACACCATGCAGAATCTCAAGTTTTTATTTTTCATTGTAAGTTTTAAACCTATAAAATTTGCAGGTACACCTATATATATTTCACAATAAAATTTGTTCTAGTTTGAATTTTTGATCAGTTGTTAATTATAATGTTTAATTAAATAAAATAATTATGGATACCAACTTGAGAGTTATTCAATCACATATAACAGTGCACTCAATCTATAAGAGTATACTTAAGTTAATTGTTAGGTTGTAGCATACCAATGAATTGAATGCCTTCTCAAACACTACCTAGTGCACATCTTTTACTAGAAGTGTTTGAGAAGGCATTCCACTTTGTAGCACACCCCTTTTTTTTTTTTTTTTTTTTTTTTTTTTCATATTTTTCAATCATTGGTTACTTCAATTCAAATGGAAGGGTGAGATTATTTCACATTTTTTACTAGAAGTATTTTTCTCATATGATCCTAATAATATATAGAATTAGAATCATACAAAAACAATGCTTCTTGTAAAAAAATGTGAAATAATCTCATCCATTATGAGTTTATCAAAGGTGAGAAAATAAGAGAAAATGAGAAAAACACAGTGAAAGTTCTGTAATTATTATAAATTTTGGAAAACTATTATATTGTACAAAATTTTAGAGTGCATCAGTTGATATATATATATATATATATATATATATATATATATATATATATGTATGTGTGTGTGTGTGTGTGTGTGTGTGTGTGTGTGTGTGCGCGCGCACGCGCGCGCCCGCACGTGTGCACGCTTAAGTTGGATGTACTGTAACATACCAAGGATGCATTGCGAAACATTACCTAGTGCACGTTCAAAATTTAGAATATTTTTTAAATTGTCATTGTGTTTTCCCCTTATTTTCGAGTTATTAATCATCTTAGATGGATAGAACATATTATTTTGCATTTTTATAAAATGTATTTTATATATATACTTGTTTTGCACGCGCATTGCACGAAAGAGTTAATGCCCAATGTTTATAATTAAATAAATATTTGAAAATATATCAATGCAAGATTATATATGAGAAGTTCATACATAAGTAATTTTTTTTTTTGAAAGCAAACAACAGCTAGCATGTATTAACTCAAAAGAGCAAGAACAAAGTCAGGTGGGACGGAGTCCCAGTACATAAAACTAGCCTGGTCAGAGGCTTGCGAAGCTAAAGTATGCGCAACCAAATTTAAATGTCTAGGAATCAATAGTAAAGAGCAAGAATTAAACAAAGACATAAAACGTAAACACTCGTCGATCACAATCCCAGCATAGGATCTCGGCTTAGCAGCCGTAGTGGTAACAAAACGGTGCAGAACCGAGCAATCAGTGTGTATAGTTACCTCGGCAATCCCACGATTTCTAAGCCACGAGAGGGGTTCCTTACAAGCCAACGACTCAGCCGTTAGGGGATTTGCGCAGCCATTACAAAGCTCCAATTCTCCAATTCTCTTTCTCACACCATTACAAACCAAAGTATGGGCAGCCATAATACTCCTCCAACAATAGCTAGGGTTATTCCCCAGAGTTACATCAGTAAAAGAAGATTTAGGGAAGTACCTTGCCTTATACACATGGGCAGCCAATGACTCAGGTTTCGTGAGAAAACGCCAAGCCTGCTTACCTAGCATAGCCAAATTAAATGCCCTGATATCCTTGAAACCCAAACCCCCGACAGATTTCGGTTTGCACAAACGGTCCCAAGCCATCCAGTGAATTATTGTCTCAAGCAGGTAAAGAGATTCTTCTCAAGATTGTGGCGCAGGCTATGCCTACGTTTACCATGAGTGTCTTTTTACTTACTGACTCTTTATGTGGGCTAAGGGTGGCATACATAAGTAATTTAATGTCGAATTTGTTTATTTAAATATGAATACAATATAATATAGGAGATTCATTATAATTGTTACTACTTTTTTTAAATAGTAACCAAGTATTTTTGTTCAAAGGGTTCTAATATATTTAATGAATGCACATATATACAAGATTAATGAATGAATCAACGGTACCAGTCATTTAGGTATTTTGTTCAGTGTTCATTTAGTTCAACCATTATTGTTTAAATTATTATGGATAAAGAAATTCATAATTTAACGAATTTAGATGTAGTAAAAATTTTAATTATAATGTAACCCAAAGATAATATTGGACGATTGGTAAATATAATGTAACCCATTGATCAAAATGTTAAAGAAAGTGTTTGGTTATTCAACAGTTTGAAGCAACAATTTGTTTCAAACCACTGAAAATACAAACATTGCAATTTACAATATTTTCACTTAGCGTTTTTGAGAATGATTTTTCCAAAACACCTCGAATGATTTCCCCAAAACACCTCTATATATTATTAAAAAAAAAAAAAAAAAAACGTGCTAACCGCTAATTGCCAAACAAGGACAACAGATGATTTTTACCAACCGTTGATATAATTTGCTAGTCAAATCTGCTAACGCTAACCGTTTTCATACTCTCTTTGTCAACAAATACCTCAAGCAACTTGGTGCCATTGGACCACAAGGTCCTTGGCACCTCAAGTAGTTAATATGATTAGCTTTATTAATTATATTTTTTTTTTTTGATTTTTTCATGGTATTAATAAAATAGTTGGTAAATAAATATATAGCATAATTTTGTATTATAACTTTGATATTTAATTAAAAAATAATGCACGAAAAAGATAATAAACAATGTAATGAATATAATCAATTGATGAATTTGAATGTAAAGAATTTTTATATTGGAGAAAAATAAAGACAATATAACTAATGAAATTATTTCTCTTAATTAATTTATTGATAATGAATATTTTTTTTTGAATAAAGACATAATGTAGCGAATATAATCAATTGATGAATTTGAATGTAAAGAATTTTTATATTGGAGAAAAATAAAGACAATATAACTAATGAAATTATTTCTCTTATTTAATTTATTGATAATGAATAATTTTTTTTTGAATAAAGGCATTATAGACACATAATTCTAAATAAAAAGAAATGCATATGTATTATTTTTTTGGTGTAGCTACTAAATTATTATTTTAATTTAATAAAAGTAAAATAGAGTACTAATTATGTCAACTTTGATTGAAATGTGGTTCCAACCTAAGACCTTTCTTATTAAAACCAATGAGTAAGTTAAGGGTGAACTAACAGAAATTAACGGGAAAGTTAACGGATAATCATATAATTAATGATAAATTAAAAAATCTCAAGGAAAAATTAAAATCTGATCAATCTGAGGCATTCATTTGATTAAAAAATTTGATCGTCATTTTTTCTACCCATTATAGGCCTAACTCTCTTAAGCTCTTATTAGTGTATATATATATATATATATATATATATATATATATATATATATATATATATATATATATATATATATATATATATATATATAGGGTTGAGTTCAAATGAGGACAGCAATATATAGAGGACTGTGAGGACAAATAATGGGCACACAATAAATTAATACCAGGCACACAACTTAATACATAATGGCACACAAGAATAAATGTAAACATCAGGTTTCGAACTCAGACTCTATAAATTTGCAAATCTAGCACGCAACATACAAACTGTGGCACACGACTACATTCGGCCATGCACACCAGGGCCGTATTTTAAATTTGTGTGGCCCTTTTCTATTAAATAAATGTGGCCCTACCAAAATCACAAATTTTAAAATTAATGTATGCAAGTTTCGAACCTTTGACCTCCAAGTTAAAATACAATAAATACACATTCTTACCATCTCTTCATTAAACCTTTTAAATTTAATTGAAAACTTTTAATGATTATTTCTAAACTAGCTAGGTAAAAATTAAATATTGGATCTCTAAAATTTGGGGCCCCTCTAAAATTGGGGGCCCTGTGCGGTAGCCCAGCTTGCACAGACTAAAATCCGGCCCTGATGCACACAACATACCGGCTAATGACACACACTACATCTGTCCTCACAGTCCTCTATAATATACTTGTCCTCATTTGAATACACATCTATATATATATATATATATATATATATATATATATATATATATATATATATATATATATATATATATATATATATATATATATATATATATAGACAAATTATTGTTCTACTCAGATAGACAAATTATATTAGTCATTCCTTTTTGCATTGGAGTCTGTTTTCACATGAACTCTCCTCGTTCTCACATGATCTCTACCTTAAATAGATTGTGTTTATTTTTATTTTTTTTATGTTTGTTTCTTAATATATTATGATTTATTAGTTTAGTTCCTATAAGTTGTGTGCAAGATATATTGTTGGTGTGTGTGATTTTGGTCAAATCGTATGCACATTTGTTATGTTGTGTTTCAATGGAAATCAGATGTAGCTAGAACACTCTTATAAAATACCTAGCTATGAATTTTTTTCACTACAAGAGTATGTAAACATTGTAGGGGAATTTCTTGATTTGACTAGCCTTAGGATTTTACACCGAGCGAGTGGTAGGGATGTAAGGATTGGTCTTTGGATTGCCTTAGGGTGTCTTTGGTTCAAATATTAAAATTAGAATGGAATTGTGAATCAAATATTTGGTAATGGTAATAATAATGAGTTTATTAAGTACATTATTTTAACTCATAAAATACATATTCTAACTCAAAAAATATATTATCATACCCTAAAAATTTCATTATTTCAACACATAAAGTACATTATACATTATTCTAACTCATAAAATATATTATTGTAACACAAAGTACATTATTCTAACTCATAAAATACATTATCTTATTCCATAAATTTCTTTATTCTAACACATAAAATACATTATTAACATATAAAGTGCATTATTCTAACTTCGCGCATATCTTCCATTTTTACCTTCAAAAAAAGTACATTATTCTAACTCATAAAATACATTATCTTACTCTAAAATGTTCATTATTCTAACATCACGTAAAGCAATAAATTTTTTTAACATCAAAATAACGCTGTTTTGAACCGTAATCCACACAACGGTGTGGACCACGGTCCACGTAATAATTTGCCTTCCACGACTATCTTT